ACGCGGGTGAATTAGTATTCTATTTTATCCACTGGGAACCCGGTTGACGGTAAACTCACAAAACTCTATTACCGACCCGCGGCACTCGAAACAAAAAAAAACAACTGGGTTTTATCAGAGCTTCGCCGAAAATTACTGCGATTGCAATGGAGAAACAATATTTTTTAAACTTTAATTACTTAGTGATACCCAGATATTGTGATCTTTTGGCAATATTTTTTGTGTAGTACAAAAATATTCAGTGATTTATTAGAATGTAACAAAAGACCCTTACGAAAGACCTTGAGAGAGCTTGTGAAATGTGACATAAATTGTTAAACGGAGACAAAACTTGAAAGTTATATTTTTACACAAGCGTGAGAGGAACGACGACAGATCAAACGGTAAAGTACGCTGCATAGCTATTGCGCAAGGGATTAAAGTACTTGGAGCAGTATACGACGCACAGTACTGCACTCTTATAATAAAGACACGTAATGGTGAGTACTCTAAAAATACAGATTCTGTTGTGCAGAAAAGGGAAAATCTTTGGCTAAGAAAATGCCTGCCAACTTTTTTATGCAAAGATTTCGCAATCTCGATTGTTAACAAATTTTTTTATAAAAAATATATACATTTTTTTATATCAATGACGAACTTTTTCAACATAAACAATAAAATAGTTATATTCAATTCAATTACTCAAAAAAATGTTTACATATACTCTTCATGCCGATTGTAGAATGCCTGAGCTTTAGCAAGATCTTAAAAAAAATTTATCATAAAAAACATGGGGTAAAAGTCGGTAGAGTTAAAATTCTTGTTTGCTAAGACGTAAAAATTATTGTACAGAGAAATTAGAACTTGATTAAATACAACAATTCATAAATTCTATCGGGGTCACCTTTTAAATAAGCTGATACGTACCCTCAAATTTTAGTAAAATTGGTACTAAGCCCAGTTTTAACAATTATATTAAGCCAAAAAATATAGTTATTAGTGAAATAAGATTTACATCACAATTAAATCTCGACTCCATCAAAATTAAATCACAATCATGTCATTATTAAATCACTTTTAAATCACGCTCAATAAGTGATCGTAACGGCTTAATAAACGACTACTACTTTTAATTAAATGCCTTTTGCAGCTTCTGCCTTATATCACGCAACATCCAGTTGGTAAGCACGTTATCTTAAGTCACTGCAAAGTAATAATTAGCCGACACAAAAATAAAGTTAACCAGCGACCCACACTACAAACGAAGGTCAGGTTTGCAATTTAATAATTATTTATTATCATTTCAATATAAGGTTATTTTTTTAACTAAAGCTGGTCTCTACGGGAAAAACATTGCTTCATAGGAGTAAAAATTATGATACAGTTAAAAACTAGGTTGAAAATGTTCAGAAATTTAGCTTGGCTTGAAATAATGTGGTAAATCACTGCAAATAAGTAAATTGTTTTCTTTCGCCAAAGTCTACATATAAAAAAAAATATATATATATGGGGAGAATCACGTCAACTGTCCCAGCGCCGCGGTGGACGGCCCACGCGGGCGTCAAACACGACGTTTTCAACTCGTCGTTTCGGTGTCAAAACTTTGATAAAAAAATTATCTAAAAACATATTCTTACGTATTTTTTCCTCAGCTTTCCAGTGGTGGCATCA